ACAGACGACCCGAAGCTTGACAGAACATCCGAACAGGGCTCCTCCCCAGAAAACGACAAAATGCTCTTACGATGTACCGCCTTCCAACTGTCAGACGCCTTCCGCACCCTTCACCCAAGATGTAGAGAGCATACCTTTTACTCCAAAGCTCAGAATGCCAGTACCCGTATTGATCGCGCGCTTTTATCTCAGTCACTCTTACCTTTCCTATCTGCCGCTTCGCACGACAAACCTGATGAACCAATCTCTGAGCACAGTTTCGCGGTGAAGGTTGCTCTTCGCCTGGATGCTAAAGTCTGCACAGGGCCGGGGTTGTCAACGGGAGTTGTGTTTGGCCCCGTCCTCGCTTGGGCGGAGCCGATTTCGTGGTCGGGTGTGCGGGGGATTCAGCCGACCTGTAGCAGTGGGTACGGGGACCACTGCAAGGGCGTTGAGCTGGGGGGCGCCTGGCTGGAGGGCGCCGAACAGGTGGACGCCGTCCTTGGCGTCTGGGCGGCGTCCTGGGCGTCTGCTCGGCGTCCTGGACGCCTGGACGGCGTCCTGGGAGGCTGGACGCCGACCTGGGCGTCTGCTCGGCGTCCCGGGCGCCTGGACGCCGACCTGGACGCCAGGACGCCGACCCTGGGACGCCGGGTTTGGTGTAGCCGGCGACCGACTGGGCTGGACGACCAGGCGGGGTTGCCCGGTCGTCCGGGATACCCGGGCGACGTGTGCGAAAGTCGCCGGGATGGTTTCTGCGAGGACGACCTCGGGGGTGGTATCCCGAGGTCGACGTGGCAGGTGGGCGTCGTCACGGGCAGAATGACTGCGCTGGGCGCGTGACGGGGTGTTGGACGCCAACCAGCCGCGCACACCTGCGAAGCAGGTGCACCGTTGTCCTGCGGGTGCAACGCTGTACAGCCGACTTGCTGCAGCGTTGGCACACCGTGGACATGCAACGTTGGCGCACCGCATCTCTGCAGCGCTGGAGCGATGCGAGCATTGCTGCGCTGGAACGCGGTCGACCATGCTGCGCTGGAAGTCGACCAGCAGCTGTGCTAGCTCTGATGTAGCCTTGCATGCCAATGTTGTTTGCCATTCATTTTTGAACATCATTGTTGTGAACTTTTGCTAGTGAAACTCTTGCCAATTTTCCCCGTGAATGCGCAAGTAGTGTGAACACAGGCAAACGACTAAGGAACGAACGCAGAGATCACTCTCACGCCCGTGCCTAGCCCGTAGTCTAGCTCCCGTTGACAGAGTTATCTCCGCATGGTGCGGTGAGCGTGGACAACACCGCGAAGTCATCTTCGGTGTAGCCGACTTTGCACTTACCTAGCTTGTTCGTAGGCCGGCGGCTGTGTTGGACGCCATGGTGGACCCCGTAGTTGAGGCGGGCGTCGTGGACACCTTGGAGGCACGGCTGGAGGATGCGAGGAGACGCCATGCGGCGAACGAGTACGGGACTCTCCCGCTGGCGGTCGTCGAGGCTGGCATCCGTGCCGTGTGGGCGACGGAGCACCCGACCGGCGTCTCCCCGACCGGTGAACAACGCAGGCGGCGTCGACGTGGGCGTCAACGCTGGTGATCAGGTCGGCAGCAGTGCGGGAGGCACGTCGAGGCCGAGGGGAGTGATACACGCCATTGAAGCCGGCGGCGTTCATGCGCGAGGAATGCAGTTGTTGGCGGCTGCAGCGGCCTCGCAGGGCGACAGTGGAGGCCGACGAAGCGGATTGGCGCCGATGTCGGCGACTCACGTGACGGCGGGAGGGATCGCGCCGAGCTACGGCTACTTCAAGTTTACACCGGATAGGATCTCGGTCACCCCTCTGCTGGTCGGTCGCTCCGACATCCTCACCTGGAAGGAAGCCATCGAGCCCCAGCTGGAGATGGCCGGGCTGATGGGCTTCGCCGCCGGCACCGTGGCAACGCCGTCGGAGAACTACCCCGACCTGCGTGCGGAGTTTCGCGTTGTGCAGCTGCTGACCTTCACGGTCATTTCGCGGTGCTGCTCGCCGGGCGTGCAGATTGCCTTGAAGCCGTGTAGGGACTACCTGGACGCCGGCCACCAGGCGTGGCACTTTTTCGAGTCGACGTACCAGGTCACCGACGACCTGTACATCGGCCAGCTCGAGGAGCAGATGACGCATCTGCGGATGGGCGACCAGGAGACTGCGACCGATTACTGCAACCGGGCTCGGCGACTTCTCGCCACCATGAGGATGTCCGGCGTGCAGTACTCCACGGCGTCGTACGTCACGCACGTCCTGAAGGGACTCCCAAGCAGCTACAACCTGCTGAAGCGGCTGTCGGTGGTGCCGAGCACGCGGGCAACGCTGAACGAGGACTCCCTGACCTCGTACATCCTGCGGGACGAGGCGATGCAGGAAGCTGAGCAGTCCTCAGAGCTCCTGCCGCAGGTGAACTACGCCGCCCCGGCGAAGCAGAGTGGCCGACCGGGACAGCGCGGTCAGTCTGGCGGCAGTGGTAGCAGTGGCGGGAAGCCGGGAAGGGACGCCGACAAGACGAAGTCAGCCAAGGACGGCGGTCGCGGAGGAGGGGGTCGGCGTCGGGAGTGCTTGATCTGTCGTAGCCCCGACCACCTCTCCTTTGAGTGTCCTGACTGAAGTGAGACCGACGACGACGACGCCAAGGGAGGTCGTGGAAGGTCGGCCAGCCGTCGTCCACATTGGGGAAGCAGGCCGCGCATGGAGAAGCAGTCGAACAAGTCGACCTCGGCGAAGGACGCCGACTCCTCTGCTGGCGGCAAGGGGCGAGACGACAAGGAGGCGTCGTGCTCGCTGGTCGGCGTCGTGGAGCCGACCGTCTCGCTGGCGCCGGAGGCCGGTGAGGACTTTCAGGCGATGGCAGCAGCAGTGCAGGCGAACCCGGCAGTGGTCCTGCTCGACAGCGGCTGCTCACACCACCTGATGGGGACGAAGGAGGTCTTCGTCGACTTAGGGCCGAGCAGCGACGTGAAGCACGTGCGTGGCTTCAATGGGGCGCTGCAAGACGTCAAGGGCCAGGGCAGGGTTTGCTGCAAGGGGAGGCCGGGGAGCGGGTGCTCATCCCCGACGTGCTGTACGTCCCGGGCGTGCACGCAAATCTGCAGTCGGCTGGTCAGCTGAAGGAGAACGGCGTGAAGCTGCAGACTGATGGCGACGGGATGCTGCTCATCTCGGCGACCGGCGACGTCCTCGGCCGAGCAACGTACTCCGGCCGGGTCCTCTGCACCGACCTACGTCCCTGCTCGGCGACGACTGCAGCGGAGGAAGTGGCTCTGCGGGCAATCGTCTCGGCGACGAAGGCGACGCCGGACAGGCTGCACGCGAGGCTCGCGCACGTTGGCATGGACACCATCCGGAGCTCAGCGAAGCACGAGGTAGCCACCGGGCTGGACCTCAAGTCGGCGTCTGGTGCCACTTCGCCCTGCGTCTCGTGCGTCGGCGGGAAGCTGGCGCGGCACTCCTTCCCCGACAAGGGCTCGGACGCCAAAAACGCCCTGGCCGTCGTGCACATCGACCTGTGCGGGCCGTTTCGTGTGGCCGCCAAGGATGGCAGCCTGTATTTCCTGCTGCTGAAGGACCGTAAGACCCGCTACGTGTGGGTGAAGCCGGTCGCCAGGAAGTCCGACGTACTGCGCGAGTTCACGCAGTGGCTGGTGTTGGTTGAGCGGCAGGCAAAGAAGTCGGTGCTGCAGCTGCGCTCTGACCGGGGAGGGGAGTTCCTCGGGAAGGACTTCACCGCCTTCGTGGACGGCAAGGGAATCGTCCACGACCTGACCTGCCCGTACACCCCGCAGCAGAACGGCATGGCGGAGCGGGAGATGAGGACGGTGGTGGAGTCGGTGCGGACAATGCTGCTGCACATGGGCGTGCAGCACCACTGGTGGCACCTCGCTCTGCGGCAGGCCGTCTGGGTCCGCAACTGCCTTGAGCGGTCGTCGCTGCCGGGGATGACGCCGTACCAGCTGCTTACCGAAAAGAAGCCCGACTTATCGCTGGCACGCGTGTGGGGCTGCATGGCGCAGTTCCTCGTCCCCGAGCAGCAGCGCGGTGGGAAGCTGAAGCCGAAGGCCAAGTGGGGCCTTCATCTCGGCGTTTCGGCGGAGAGCAAGGGCTTGGAACTCCTTGACCTCGCCGACAACAAATTGGTCACCACGTCGGACGTGGTGTTCTACGAGACGATGTCGCTGGAGGTGTGGAAGTCCCAGCACGGGCCGGCGTCGGGGCAGATGCCGGCCAACCAGCAGACGGACACCTCTACGGCGACACTCCCTCTGCTCGCCGAGGTCGGTGAGCCTGCTGAGGGGGACGCCGAGGAAGTCCTCTCTTCTCCCCCTACCCCTGCCATCCCCCCTCCCGTGGTCGTTTTGCGTGCGCCGGCGCCGACGTTGGCCTCCGGCGATGAGGGGAGTAGTGGGGCGTCGCCTGTGGCGCCAGCCAAAGGCATCGCCGGTGGCCAAAGTGGCGTTCAACACGGCGTGAAAGCGGAGCCGCCGACGGCAGGGGAGCAGCGGGTGAAGTCGGCAAAGGGGACGTCTGCAGAGAAGCCGCCGACAGGGGAGCAGAGGGGGGGATGGGGGATCCTGGCGCTTGTTGACGCAGTTGACGCAGGAGGCGATGGGGGATCCTGGCTGTCTCACAAAACGGTCTCTCCTAGAGGCAAAGGAGCTGCAGCTGAAACAATACCATGTGGCAAGGCAAGAACGTCTGCACCTGCAAGCTGGGTTGACGGCAGAGATGACCGGAGAGATCGCGTCAAAACACCTGTCGGCTAAGGTCCGAGCGAGGAAGGCAAGGACACAGATTACAGAGTTGAATGTCGGTGGGGTGGCGGTCTCGGGACCCAAGCAAGTCCTTGATGCGGCCTCGTCTTTCTTTAATAACATCTTCGAGAGAGACCGGCGTACGGACTTCGACAGTTGGGAGATAGATCCGAAGAGGCGTCTGGATGAGAGGGTTAAGGTGGCTCTAACAGCAGAATGGACGGAGCAGGAGGTTAAGAACGCTTTTGCCGCGATGGCAAAGAACAAGTCCCCGGGGAGTGACGGGCTCCCGAAAGAGCGTTTTGAAGCGCATTGGGACCTGCTTGGGGGGAGTTTCATGGCAATGGCAAGAGATTTCGAGTCAACAGCTTCCCTGCCGGCGGAGATAAAGGAAGCAGTCACTATCGTCCTGCACAAAAAAGGCGTCCGCGATCAGCTCAACAACTACAGGCCCATAACGCTTCTCAACTTCACCTACAAAGTATTGGCGAGAGTGGTGGCGGACTGAATGAAAACGGTGCTGCATCAAGTGATTTCTCCGGAACAGTACGGCTTTCTCCCGGGGAGGCGGCTCTCTGACGCGGTGGCGCTGGTGGCTGATATAATAGACGCTGCTAAGAACGAAAATGAGGACTGGTACCTCCTCCTTGTGGATTTCCAGAAAGCCTTTGACTCCGTGTCCAGGGACTTCCTCTTCCAGGTGCTGAGGGGGATGGGGTTCCCTCCGCGTTTTGTGAAGTGGATCGGGGGCCTGCATGAGAACACAGCCGCGAAACTTTTGGTCAACGGCTGGCTCGGTGAAGGGCTGGAGGTGGTGTCTGGTGTAAGGCAAGGGTGCCCGCTTGCAACTTACCTGTTCTTGTGCGCGGTTGAACCTCTGGCGCAGGAGGTAGGAAGGGCGAAGCTGGGGCTAAGCAAGGATGAGCAACGGCTGAACTATCTGGGGTATGCAGCGACACGACCCTAGTTCTGCAAGGGAGAGAGCAGATAGTCAGCGCAGAAAAAAACTTGGACAGGTTTGAAAGAGTCTCTGGGCTGGCGACCAACAAATCCAAATCGGTGGTACTTCCCTTGGGAGCGAATCTCGGAGCGCAGGATGACAGTGGGGTCAGCTTTAAATGGGCTGGCGCAAATGACGCGGAGAAACTGCTGGGAGTATGGGTGTCGCCTTCTGGAAGCGGCGTGAAGACCTGGAAAAAGGCCCTGTGTCACATCACGGAGAAACTGATTAAGTGGAAGCAGAAGTACCTCACCACATCAGCCAGAGCGACGGTGATTACCTACTACATCGTCCCGATCGTGGCCTTCCAGGCGCAGATTTATCCACCGCCTGCTGACACGTGGGATGATGTCACTCGCCTCATCCATGGCTTTGTCTCGGGTAACAGAGTCTCGGCGGCGAAAGGCTTCATTCTCTGGAGCAAGGTTCTCCTGTACACATCCAGGAAAGCCGGGGGGATTGGAGTGAGAGACCCGGAAGTGGTGACATCATGACCAAGGCGCAGGAGGGTGGGGCTGTTTATCGCAGAGAAGAATCTGGTTAAGCGCGACATCATGACCAAGGCGGCGGACTTACCTCTGGGGGTAGACAGCTTCGCGTCACATGAGAAACTGATGAAGCATTGGGACGGTCAGAGCATTCGCTGGAGGCAGACTTGCGAATGCTTCATCCACTTCCCTCTATGCATCTGGCCGGCTGCAGTGACAAGGGAGGATGTGCTGCAGGAGCGGGTGGTTTTCAACACGCGTATTTTACTCAACGAGACCACTCCTATTGGAGGGCAGAAGGACGTGAAGCAGCTGCGAGAGCTAAGGCTAGGAGATCTGTTAGAGGAGGAAGCCGACGGTGGGCTGGTGTCGCTATCCATGGCGGAGTTGTCTCAGAGGCTAGGAGGGAGCGGCCCTGCGAGGCTAGCATCAAAGGCACTGGGCGCTATTCCTGCTCTGTGGCTCCGACGGTGCTCCCCTGCTCGGCTGGCTTAGGAGGGAAGTTGAACATTTTTTCGAGCGGGCAGTTAATCCCTCTGTGGCAGATTAGGGAGGCTTGGACGGAAGTTCACATTTAGTCATACAAGCAGCAGAAGTGGGCAGAACGGTGGAGCGGGCAGATTGATTGGAAACGAGTGATCCGGACACGAGACTCGCTGGCGGTTCCTAGCCGTCCACGAGATGTGCTCATCAGGATCCACGGTCTCAATTTACAGGTGGGGGAACAGCTTGCCTTCCTCAGCAGCAATGCCGTCTGCCCGTACTGTGAGGAGCCTAAGACCCTGGAGCACTGCCTCGTTGAGTGCCCTCGTATCCAGTCTGTCATCAAAGCTCTTCGGAGTGCCCTGTACATGTTCAATCCCAACCGTGCGACGGCCACGTTGGGTGACCTCTTGTTCCGGAAAACCAGCACCAGCTCAGCTTTCCCGGAGCTGACCATCACGGCAATCGCCTTTCACCAGTTGTGGTTGGAGCACTGTGATGCTGTGTTTCGGGGTGGGAAATTCCGAACGCAACGGCTGCTGCACAGGATTGAATTCGCTTTCAAGCAACATGCAAAAATTTTACCTCTACAACTTCGGGGTGACGTGGCGGAAACAGAAGCAGAAAGGTCCGGCGGAGGAACAAAGGCTGCTGCAGAAGATAAGGCAAGTTGGCAGCGGTTGGAGTGGAAATTTGCTTTCGCGGTGATCTGGTCCAACAGGAGGGCCCGGCCCTCGGTTTCTCGGCTGGGGCGGTAGTTCCGTCTACTGTTCCTTAAGCACGGTTACGACCGTTTTCTGGTAGCATATACTTGCTCTTCGGTGTATGCTTATCAAATAATCTTAAAAGGGAAAAAAAAAAAAACAAAAACAAAAAAAACTTACTCTTTGTACCAACCATATGGGTAAGTAATGCACTAACTTAGCCATCCTGGACTATTTACACACTTCTTCTATCTCTAGTATACCAATTGTTTCCTAGTCTAGTATGGTTTGAGTCCTCACTTCTGCTTGGGTTGAAGTGCAATTCGTGAGATTAACACATAACATTCAAACAATGTCAGTATTACTGAACGCACTCCCTATGTGTGTCCCCCATTTCCCCCCCCTCCTCCCCCATATTGCTACACCCATCCCTTCTACTTAGGGATAATCCCATCACCTTTCTTTCACTAGCACTTAGCTCGCCATCATCCATCCTCTAGCTGTCACCCACAGCTCCCGCTGGCTCGGGCAGCGATCCTGCAATAAATCGAACATTCACACGCACACAAAAGCAAACAAAGAAGTTGGAAATGCTTCTAGCTTCCTCTCCCGCCCACTCCCCCGATTTCTCCCCTCCCCATGCCTGCGCGGCTGACCCTTCAAGTTCCCTGTCCCCGCCTTCTCCCTTCTTCCTCGGTGTCCTCAACAACATATGTCTCGCATATATTCACCATTTACAACATATGCACTCCTTCCTGAATTACTCCTTATCACACGATTGTTGTCAGAATCTCCCTTACCAATCCTCTTGATGGAACCCTCTTTGCCTTCTCTCCCCACCCTTTACTCCTAGTCCTTACAGCTCCCCGACCTTCTCCCAGCCGTTTATTCACACCCCGACTTGCCTTATGCTCACACTACTTTGTGCATGACCCTCTATACCTCGTGCCTCTCCCTAGTTTCATGGCTATTGTACCGCTCCTCCTGCTCCCTTCCTCACCTCACTACCCTTCATTGGTTACATGCATTTGCCCCTTCCCGTGCCGGGCTGTCGGCCTCGCCTGGGTCACGAGACCCATCTAGCTTCTGGTGGGTCTGCCTGCTCGTGCCATGTTGGTGACATGGTCCACCACTCGTGCCCCCGGTTCAACCTCCAAGACGAGCACTTCACATTCCTGCAAGGATGATCCACCGCTGTTGAGACAACCACACACAGCCAATCCGTCCCGCTTGGGCCTGTGCAAGAAGACTTCCTTTCCTGGTTCTCTTGCCGATGAGACGCCCCTGTCCTGCTGCTCCTGATGTTGCATGTACTTGTGGATGTCCCTGAGCTGCGCCACCTGGCTGTTTTCAAGGGCCGCTGGTAACAGTTGGCGCAAGTAGTTTCTTTGTGTTGTCGCCAGTGCTGCCCATGTTCCTAATGTCCCTGCCGTGACCACATCTAAGAGCACTCGAAGTGCATCCACAGGCGGTATAGGCCCCCTGCTGAGGTGATGCGGTGAAAGATCCTTAAACCATGCCTTCTTACGGAATCGTTACCTCGCCATCACCCAATGCAAATGCTTGTCCCAATCCCGCTTCTTGGATTTTCCATACGGCCTGAGTCCCTTTTCCAATGTATTCATAAGCTACTCTGTCAGACCATCATTCTGCGAGTGAAATTATGACGTCATGCGGTGCTTGGTCTGGCATGACAACAGCAGCTCATGCCTTGGTTGATCAGCACCTCTCCGCAAGCTCCAAACCCCACCAGGACCTGCTCTTCAAAGGCTTCTGCCACTGCTAGCGCGGTCTCGTTGACCAGCGTTTGCACCTCCGCCCAATTTCCTACATGCTCTATCATCACTAACACATAACGGCGTCCTCTCCTCGTCAGTGGCAATTCCCCCGCCATATCCAGAGACGATCGGTACCCCAGCCCGACAATAGGCAGCGGCTGCAGCTCTGCCTTGCTCCGCTTGAGGGCTGCCCTATTCCTAATGCACAGCTCACACCTCCCCACCTAGTCCTTCATATCTTTACGCTTGCCATTCCAACATCATCCCGTTGGCAGCAACTGCTGCATCCTCAGGGGACCATAGTGTTCGAGTCGATTGTGTGCTTCCCAAATGATCCCTTCTCTCTTCTTAGGCTAAGGCACTCACTTCCATCCATCCGTGGTTTCAATCTGCACTTGGTTCTGCACCATCGGTAATGCTGCCCCCTGCTTCATGCCCTCGCTCATACCACCGCGCTCTCACCCGTCTCCCCCCTAAGCCATGCCATCATTTCTCCATCCTCCCAGACATCCTGGACTCCCGCTTGCTGCTCTCTTCTTAGTGGGGTAACCGTCTCTAGCACCATGGCCATCAGAGCCATCTCTTGTTCATAGAAGGCGGGTTCCTTGAATGCCCACCCACGTGTCGCATCGTTTTTCTTGAGCAATGCCAAATGATGAACTCGTATTCCTGTAGCTTTATTGTCCACCGTGCATCCCTCCCTATGAGGGTTTGGTTCTGCATTAGCCACAGTAAGGGCTGGCGATCCGTAACCAGCGTGAAAGGCCGGCCCTACAAATAGACTATGAAATGACCCACTGCCCATACTGCCACCAGACCTTCACCTTCATACGAAGAGCAGTTGGCTTCAGCTAGGTTGCAAGACTAGCTGGCAAGTGCCACCACCTTCTCCACTTCTGTGTCTTGCTAGCTTAGTATCACTCCCATCCCTGCATTTCTCCAGTCAGTGTACAGAATGAAAGGGTTGGTCTGTGCGAGGAATCTGCAGCACCACGCCGTTCTTCAATACTTCCTGTAGATCCTTCAGAGCTTCTTTCTGGGTCCCTCCCCATTCCTACTTCTGGTCCTCCCTTTGTAGCTTGTGTAGCGGGGTTGCACTCTTACTGAAGCTCTCCATAAACTTTCTGTAATAGTTCAAGAATCTCTACAAAGCTCTGAGAGCGCTCTTGTCTTTGGGCACTGTCACTCGGTCCAACACTTCCACCTTCACTATTTGAATCTCCATTCTCCCTCCAAAACCACCTCAAATCCTAAGTACATCACAGACGTGTGGCCAAAGTGGCAGGTTCTTTGGATGGCAGGTTAGCCCAGCGTCCTTGATCCTCATGGGTACACAATCACTGTTAGAGACTAAGGACGGAGTCTATGAAGAATAGGTGCCGAAATATCTCAAAATCGTTGGACTGTAATTCTGGAAAAAAATGTCGACTTCACAAAAAACGCCTTCGACGCAAAACGCACAGTCACAACTTCACTATTTTCTGTATCAAAGGGTGAATTAAATTGTGAGATATGAAATTCGGCGCACAGGGGGGTATGCTGCCATGCAAACTTAACTCAATCACAATTATCCACACAAGAATCACAAAGAGAATTTTGAATAGCTAGAAACCAGGTTGGAGGGAAATGGAGGACGAAAGAGAAAGGTCCCGAGGGAGTCTCCAACCAAGGAAACCCCATAAGCACATCAAATCCCCTCCCCATAGCCACCCAACTTTTACTTTTGTCACTTTTTCAACCCATGCCATCCACCTCACCCAACTTGGCCACACTTGCCAACCTAGTTTGGCTTCTTCCAACCACTTCGCATGAATCTACAGTACAATGACGAATTTCCCAACACCCACAAGTCTGTACCCCATATAGAGTCACTCCGCAATTTCCTATAATCGCCGCATCACAATCAAAACTTCGAACGATCATAACTTTCTCGTTCTTGCTCCGATCGCGACGATTCTTAATTCGTCGGAAAGCTCTTGAGCGGAGGAGTCATTTCACAAATCTGCTCAGATAAAATAACATTCACGCACTCTCAGAAAATCCAAACCATGCCAAACACAAAATTCTTACGCACATGCGCATCACGCATGTAATGAAAAATATAGGATGGGAGGCAGACAGGCGTGAATGCAAACGATTGCATCACACAACAATCAGGACATCAATGCAGCACAAGGCCCTGTCTAATCACTTCAACGCCGTCTCCATCACCCGCTGAAACAAAGGCGAGGTGTTCTTCAGCTCGAATGACTTTTTGTTCCACTCATACGCCCCATCCGGCCCATGGAATGCCATCTTCGCCTTGTCCTCCTCCACTATGGGGATCTGATCGAATCCCCGCCGCATATCTAGGGTAGAAAACACGCGCGCCTCTTCCAATTGATCAAATAATTCATCCAGTATCAACGTGGAATAATTCTCTGCCACCGCCATATTGTTTAGGTTACAATAGTCCACGCACATTCTTCTAGAGAGCACCGCCCCTGTCAGATCCATTCAGGCCGCCACCACCGTAGCCGCCGCGTAGTTT